ATGATAAAGGATTATGATCAGATAAAGACATGTTGGAATTCGTGAACATGGAAGTGAAACACTTTCAGGGCAAAGACAAGAGCAAGGGTATCACCATTTCTTTATGCAGCTAAAGTGGAATCGAGGAGTGGGCCATGAGAAGTGAGTAAATTGAGGAACTGAGAAGTTTGGGAATTTGTAGAAATATCAATAGGTATGTTTAAATAGTATGAACCTACAAATTGGGGAAATAGACAAAATATGGAAAAGCACTCTATAACAACTTTTTTTCTCCCGTCAATTATGGGAAAGCTAGCATATTTGGAAATGGCAATAATGAAAACAAAGACAGGAAGTGTGGGTGGACTAAATCAATTATATTCAAATCAAAGGTGGTCTGTGCTCCATGGCATTGAGAAATTGTTTTAAGGTACCTGAAAGTGGAAAGGACACCAAGGGTTTGGAAATAAATCTTACATGCATACTTTCTCATATCTACAAAAAAGTAACAGGTAGGCTTGCAGAAACAACATTTCACAGCTCACAGATGTGACATTTGTAGTCACAATGCTGATTGAAATGCATGTTTGCAATATGCTTACTCTTCCTGACTATTAAAAAAAAATTGATACAGTAGAGAAAAATATCTTAAAGGTACTCCTAAAACAAGATGTCTCCTATGCAAATGTCAAAATCATATAAGATTCTTTGAAAGTCTGACACCATCAAGGAAGCTATCTAGCTCAGCGTTCAAATGGAATAGTTATTTCTGAAAGCATATATTTATATGAGATGTTCTGATTGGATTAAACCCTATAAAACTGCAGAGTCTCCTAAATGAGATTCATGAACATTCAAAAGCTTCTGGAAGAGCAAAATGGAGGAAGAATGTCTTCCTAGACTATGATTAGAGCTGGATGGACAATCAACAGAGCTGGTCTGTCATTTTCTAAGTTGTAAGTAATACTCTAGGCATTGAACAGGAGTTAGCAGTAAACAGGAGGTAGGCTAGAAAATCTTTGGGAAATTATGATGCTTTTATTGACTACATGCTTCTTCCAGAAACAAAGGCACATTTAAAAATAACAACGTCTTCAAGTGTTGTATATAGTAGTAAATCAAAGACTATAAGCTTTGGATGAACTACTTACAAGTCAGCTAAAGGGGTGCATGATTAGCGTTCTGCCAATTAATTAATGCACAAGAGATGTGTCATGAAGGATGTCATCAGAGAGGTGCATGAGAAGAAAATTCAAATTATGAGTTGATCCAAAAATATTGACTGAGTACCTACCATATGACTGGGGATATAAAGGTAAAACAACAACAACAATAACAGTTTCCAGGGGCAGTTAGGTGGTGCAGTGGATAGAGCACTGGCCCTGGATTCAGGAGGACCTGAATTCAAATCCAGACTTAGACACATAACACTTACTAGCTGTGTGATTCTGGGCAAGTCACTTAACCCCATTGTTTAGCCAAAAAAAACCCAAACCCAATAACAATTCCTACTCTCATAGAGTTTATATTCTACTGGGAGAAATAAAATATATAAGTAAAGATTATATATATACATATATAAATGTACACACACATTCTCATATAAAACAAACAAAATATACACGATATACCGATAATAGAAGATATGTATTATATAATGTGTATGGAATAAATTAAAAATAAATACAAAGAGGCTTTTAAATATAACTATGGAGGAAGTCCACTGCAAGTGGGGAAAGGGAAATGAGGAAAGGCTAAATGTAGAAAGTGATGCTTGAATTGCCTTTTGAAGGAAAAAAGGGATTTTTAAGAAGAAGAGATGAGAAAGGTGTGCATTAGGGGTATGGGGACAGGCAGTATAAAATGGGAGAAAGATGCATAAGGAACAGAGCAAAGGTCAATTTGGTTGGACTCTAATGTGTGGGAAGAGAAGTACATAAGAGTCTGGAAAGACAGATTGGAGCTAAGCTATCAAAGGTTTCAAAAGCCAAACAGAGGAGTTTACATTTTATACTCAATACAAAAGAAAGCCTCTGGATAAGTTTACTGAGTATGGGAGTAACATTGTCAGGTCTGTACTTTTGGGAGCTGTGTGAATGACAAATTAGAGTAGAGGGAGACTTGATGCATGGAGACCAATCAGGTGCAATTCCAATAGTCTAGGCAAGAAGTGACTGAAGGTATGGATGTTAGAGATGTTATGGAGATAGAAATATCAAGATTTGACAACTGTGTGAATATGCAGGGTGAAGGAGAGTGAAGAATCAAGGATGATACTGAGGATGGTTTACTGGAAGAATGGAAGAATGGTGGTGTCTTTTTAAAAGATAGAGAATTTTGGATGAGGGGTAGATTTGAGAGCAAGGGAAGCTAACAAGTTCTCCCTCTGATTAGCTGGTTTCTCCTAGACCTTCCATCTGAAGAAGGACACCCAGGCTAGCATTCATTGCTTTCCAGGCTGCACTCTCCAGACTTCTCTGATGCCCCTGTAGGAATAGTCCTTTCCTCCTTTCCTCATCCTTCTTTCCTACTTTTTAGCTTTCTTTTATGTGCTGTGTTTCCCTGTGAGAATGTAAGCTTCTCAAGGGCAAGGAATGTCTTTCTGATGAGTTTGAATTGTCCAATAAACAGGTGATGCAGGAATGAATTTCAGGAAAAAGGTTGTACTTAAAACCATGACAGCTGATGAAATAATTAAGTAACAGGATATGGAAAGAACAGAGGGTTCAGAACAGAGTCTTGGAATATAGCCAAAATAAGTGGATTTGATACAGATGAAGAGTCAGGAAATGAGGTAAGAAAGGTAGGAGAACCAGAAGGAAGCAGTACCATGACAACCTCCTAGAGAGAAGAGAGCACCCAGGAAAAGAGGGCATTCAGCATTAGGAAATGAAAAAGAAAAAATAAGTGAAAGGCCTAAGAAAAGACCCTCAGATTCTGAATTAAGGGATTGCTGGTAGCTTTGGTGAGAGCAGTTACAGCTGAGAAATAAAGTCAGAAGCCAGACTGCAAAGGGTTGAGGAGTGAGAAGAAATAAATTAAGAAACTAGAATAGAAAAATTTTGCTAGAAATTTGGCTGAAAAAAGGAGGAAGAGAAATATAGGATGACAGCCTGAGGGGATGGTAGGGTCTAGTGAAGGCTTTTTAAGGATGAAGGAGACATGGGCATGTTTGAAGGCTTTAGGAAAGGAATGATCAGTAGACAGGGAGAGAAGATGGGGGGGCGGGAGAGTGTGATTGCAGTGGCTAAAGTGAAAATGGGAAAAGGACAGTGTGTTTAAGTAGTCAAGCCCCCACATTCCATACTGTAATATGAACAAAGAACGAGCTTTGGATTTTTTTTCTTTCAAGAATACAGTTACTTCTGACATTCAATATTTGCTACTATAAGAAAAGATTCATTTTAAATAGATGAGAGTAATATGGATGCAATGAAATGATGGTTATCATTTTCTCAGAGAAAAAAGGAACCACTGCATACATTTTTAATGATGACACATAAGGTCTCCTAAAGATACGTCTGACTTCTTATCTTTTGGTTTCAAGGTTCCAAAGCCAGTTTTTTTTTTCAATAAGAAACTTCTAGTTTATTTAAGTGAATTTATGAAATATAGTGATTATCTAGTATCTTGGCTTGTAAAGTCCTTGTACTTCCTCTACCATGCATGTCACAGAAATTTCTTCATGCTGTAAGTTTACTCTGTCCCTGGACTTTTCATACCAAAGATTCCTCCACCCCTGAACTTCTCCCTCTGATTAGCTGGTTTCTCCTAGACCTTCCATCTGAAGAAGGACACCCAGGCTAGCATTCATTGCTTTCCAGGCTGCACTCTCCAGACTTCTCTGATGCCCCTGTAGGAATAGTCTCTTTCCTCCTTTCCTCATCCTTCTTTCCTACTTTTTAGCTTTCTTTTATGTGCTGTGTTTCCCTGTGAGAATGTAAGCTTCTCAAGGGCAAGGAATGTCTTTCTGCTTTTATTTGTATTCCCAGAGCTTGGAACAGTGACTGGCACATAGTAAAAACTTAATAAATGCTTTCTGATTTGTTGTTTGCTTAAACGTGTCAACTAAAAACACAGAGAGATTTCCAAACCACTTGATAATATTAAACAAATTTTCATTCATACAATGTACCCTTTTTTTGATGTTGTCGGCATAAACACATTCAGAAGAAAGAGAACAGAAGCATGGGGTTGAAGAGATTATCAAGAATAGAATTGAATTAACCAATTGTGTGGTCAGGGTAGGTGTCACTTCCCCAAGGGACAATGAAATATTTTTCTTCTTCCTATCTCACTATGAATTAGGATGCGAAAAAAGTCTATGAAATAATGCTAAATCCAAAATAATTTGAGATGTTCTTTATCTAAAAGTTGTAGTAAGTCACAGAAAATAGCATCAAATAACAACTCAAAATAGCTATGTGGAGATAAGGGACGGAAATGAATGAGACCCATATCATTAAATTTTTAGTTGGAGTTTTTGAAGATAATAATAGCAAAGAATGTAACGAGACAAAAATATCAAGCTATAATACCATCAATCAAAAAGTTAAAATGATTATGTTCAAATATATTTTTATCTTTAAAAAGCTACAAAAAGGGGGAAAGATTCTACTCCATATTTGACTTATCCACGAACCCAGAGATCTTAGGATACCTTGTTTGTTGGACTTGAAGCTAAAATTTGAGTTACTCATACTGAAAGAAGCTAGGAGCTGAGGATGGGTAAGTGCAAACTGGAGGGAAAAAAAACACAAATTTTCAAAGGGAAGTCACTTCATTCTCTTTTAATTTTTAATTTTTACTTATTTATAATTTCTGTTTATTAACATGTCACTTACTTGGAAATTACTTTCTGTCAAGGGGTGTTAGAGAATGAGGATGTGTGCATGAATGTGAAGCCATAAAGGTATGGTCAATGCAGTGAATGTTCAAATTAATCATGCCGAATAAAACTGTGATAGGTCTAAAAATTTTATGTAATAATTTACAAAACTAGAGTTATTACCTACCTTGACTGGCTAAATTTGAGAGTTCTTGTCTATAAACAACAAAATTTTCCACATCTGTTTCATACATCCAGGAAGTAACATTCTCTGTGAGCTCCTAAAGGAAAAACATAAAAGTATACAATTAATTTGAGAGTAAATATATTTTTCCATATAACATATAAAGAAATTCTATAATTGTCCTGTTATTTTCTTTCTTTTTTTTTTCTTTTGGCTAGGCAGTGGGGTTAAGTGACTTGCCCAGGGTCACACAGCTAGTAAGTGTTTTGTGTCTGAGGCTGGATTTGAACTCAGATCCTCCTGAATCCAAGGCCGGTGCTCTATCCACTGTGCAATCTAGCTGCTCCCCCCCCCGTTATTTTCTTTAATGAATTTGTGGAAAATATGAGGTGTTATTTTTTAATTTATTTAGCATAAGATATATTCTGTGTAAAAAATGGAGGCAAAAGATCACAACTTCACACAAAGAATCAGTTTAGTGTAATGGAATGAAAATTAGATTTGCGGTAAGATTACCTAGATTTTAATCCCAGTTCTCCTATTTAATACCTTCCATGTTACCTTGAACAAATCATTTAACCTTTCTGGGCCTCATGGTCTCTATCTATAAAGTGATGGCACTTGATTAGATCTAAGGTCCATTCCAGATCTAGAACCTATCCCCCTGAACTACTTTTTACTTCTGTAACTCTGATCAATACACACCCTTTCAGACCCATTCTCTGACCAAATAGCTTTTTTCCCCTTCCTTTTCGCTGATATGGCTACTAATCTTATAGTAGGTCAAGAGAATGCTGTAGGCATAGCATATAATATTTTATGAAAGAAGTTGATAAGATCCATTATAGTGCTCTTACGGAAATGATGGAGAAATGTAGGCTGGACAATTAGGTAGATTTGGAGCTGGCTAAATGGCAAGAGAAAAAAAAAGAGTCAATAAGGATTTCATGAAAAGTTATGGTGTCTCTAATGGAGTGTCCCAGATAATCTGTACTTGCTTATTAACTGATTAATGCTGATTAACATTTTTATCAATGACCAATGATTTGGATAAAGGAAACGGCAATACAAATACAACTAGAAAACACTCTACAGAAACAATAAAAAAAATTATTAGGGAGATTTTAATTGTCTAATTGGGCTGTGCTAAAATAATAAAAATTACTATTAATTTAGAGATTCAATGCCTGATATATCAATGTACTAAAAGTTACTTAATAGAACTAGGAAGAAAAAAACAGGACAAATTTCATTTGTAGGAAGAAGTAGAAAGGAACATCAAGAGAAATGATAAAGCATTAAGGAAAGGGGCTTGCACATACATATCTCCACCTACTAAAAAGCAATTTTTTGAAAAAGCAGATTTTAAAAAGATTTAAAAATCTTTAAAACTATTTGGTTTTGGTGAAAAAAAATAGAAAAAGTAACCAGTAGAATAGTTAAGTTACACAAGATTGAGGAGTAATTGATCATAGTTAGCTGGTAGTTGATAAAACCAAGCATTTCGACTACTGGGGCTAAGCACAAAAATGCTGGGAAAACGGGAAAGCAGCCTGGCAGAAATTAGGTTTAGATAAACACTTTGCATATTCAGCTGTAAATCAATATATGACCTAAAAACAAAAAATCATATTATAAACAAATTAGAATTGAAGAGGAGATACTATTTAGAGCTATGCATAAGAGGCAAATTCTTGACAGTCTATAAGGGATAGAGAGGCTAATAATGGATTACATAAAGTCATAAAGCTTTTCCACATAAAAAAATCAGTGCAATTATAATTTAAAGGGAAAGAGTTAACAGGAAAAATCTTTGCAGCAAATTTCTCCAGTAAAGACCTAATAGATACAAGACATATAGTGAATTGATAAAAAATGTAAATGAGACCAAGAACCATTCTCCACTATTTGAATGGTCAAAGATATGAACAGCAAGTTCTCAAAAGAAGAAACATAAACTATCAGCAACCACAGGAAAAAATAATCCTCTAAATAAGAAGTGTCAAATATACCTCGGCAACACATAGGACTGTGGCCTAAACCATATGAAATAGGAAATATTTAACAAAATAAAAACATGACAGGTTATAGATGATGCTACTATGTGGTTTTCTAAGTGAATATGCAAGTAGAGATCCTTAGGCACTGTTTAGTGGCCTCATTTCTGTTTGAGCTTTACACCACTGCTCTAAGTCAACAATCTACATAATAACAGAAATCTAAAATAAAATTTACTGAACTAACATCAATTATAAAACTAAATTAAAAATACTCTGAAGCTGAACTTCACACCTATCAGATTGGCAAGGTGATGACAAAAAAGGAAAATGGCAATTGCTGGAGAGGCTATAAGAGGGCAGGAATACTGATGTACTATTAGTGGAAATGCGAATCAACCATTGTGGAAAGCATTTTGGAATTATACTCCAAAAGTCATTAAATTGTGCATACTTTGTGCTCCCCGATAGTATTATTCGGCATATATCCCCAAGAGGTCAAAGAGAAAGGATCCACATGTAAAAAATATTTATAGTAACAATTTTTGTTATAGCATTCCGCTGTAAAAGAAGTGCTCATCAGTTAGGGATTAAGTGAACAAATTACGGTACATGAATGTAATTAAATATTGTTGAGCAAAAAAAAAAAAAAGAAAGAAAAGAAAAATGATAAATGTGATGACTAGAGAGAAATCCAGGAAAACTTATATGATATGATCCTGAGAGAAGTAAGCAGAAACAAACAAACAAACAAAAATTCATGGAATGACTATAGAGATGTAAAGGAAAACAATTTGGAAAGACTTAAAAACTCTAGAGTACACAAAGACCAATTATGCCTTTAGAAGACTGATGAAGTGTGTTTCCCATCTCTTGGCCAAGGCAATGGATGCACTGTGTGGAAACCTATTTTGCTTGGCTATACATTATTTGTCATAAAGGAGGGCTTCTAAGGGGAAAGGAGTCTGAAGGAGTTGGTAGGTAGCAACAATGCTAAAAAAAAAAAGTAGAAGTGTGGATAAAACATTTTAAAAAACAAGGAAAAAGCAGAAGGAAATTCTGAAGGGGAATAGAGTAAAGCAGAGCAGGGCAGTTTTGCTACTATGGTGTTAAATACATCAGTTAAAAAATGTATACAATACAGGTTCATAGTTTCCTATACAATGCTGTTTTCTTGTTCTTTGTATAGTGAACTGTTCATGTTTGTTGATAATTACAGAGTTCAAAATAAAAAAAAAATTTATAAAAAAAGAAATACATATGATATATATTGCTTTAACTTGTTCATGACACAAGCTACTGAACACACTAGCTGCCAAAGTAAAGATTTTAAAATATCTTGACAGGTAAGAACACTGGGACAAATGGAAGAATAAATTTAATAGAAATCAATTTTAAGTCTTATAGTTGGACTGAGTAAAAAGGTTAACTTCAGAAGTTGATGGGTCAAGCATGGTTTAAAACTATTTTATGTTTGAAAAAGTTCTAAGGATTTTAGTGGATTGTAAACTCAATATGAATTAAAACTGGAATAAAGCAGCAAAGAAAAGTAATCTGAATTTTGGCTGTATTAAGAAAGATATAATGTTCAAGACCAGGAAGGTTTATAGCGCTGTTATATTCTACATTAGTCTGAGCACATTTGAAGTACTGTGTTCAGTTTTCAATGTCACATCTTAGGAAGGTCAGTGATAAACAGGAGAGAATCCAAGAGGGCAACCAGAATGGCAAGAGACCTGAGTTCATGTCACATTACGAAAAATGGAGGTCTGTCTTGGAAGATAGTGGATTCCTCTTCATTTGAGGTCTTAAAGCAATGGACAACCACTTCTCAGGTATACTACAGAAAGGGATATTTGTTCAGGTATGAGTTCACCTAGATGGCTATGAAGGATCTTGGAAGTCCTTCCTAATTCTGAGATTCAGTGATCTTTCAAAATTGTAAATCCAATTTTGATAATAAACCACATGAAAATAATCTGTACCAAGTCACAAAATAGAGTATGCTTAAAGCTTGATATCCAGTTTTTCTGCAGTTTTATAAAAAACTTCTAAATGAAAACTTGAAACTATCACAGTTTCTGATATGCTACAAAAGGGCATTATTAACATTTTCAATTTTAAAATTCAAAACTAGCTAATTTTATGAAGTAATTGGATTAAATTTTAATTGCCCACAAAGGCAAAATTCATGAAGTACTAGTATAACCACTAATTATTCTATCAGAAAAATAATCAAATTGTCATTGAACCAATCACCTACTGTACTTACTTAATAACTATTTCATCTATTCCAATCTAGTAAGGCTTGCATGCAATCTAATTATAGGGTGATCTACAGGACTTCATGGAACCCCTCCCCATTTTATGATTCATGTTGATTTGATGATTTAAGGGATAATTTTCTACCCCTGATTCACAGTAACTTAGGGAAGGCCTTTAAAAAACATGTCAACAAACTAGCAAGAAAACTGATTTATGGCAAATATGCTTGTAATATGCTGAACTACAAAAATGACAATAATAATAATGACACATTTATTTGTGCTTTAGGGTTTACAAGGAGCTTTCCGGAAAGATACCCTGGAAATCGGTAAGATATTGTTATTACAATTTTACAAAAAGAGGAAACGAAAGCTCCAGAAATTAAAATCACATCGCTAGTAAGTATTTGAGTTGAGATTTGAACTTTTAGAACTTCTCCCAGAAAACCATACTGCCCTGCTGACTTTAGGAAAAATACATACTCAAAATTTTCACTGCCTTCAAAAAAGGCAATTAATAACACAATTTGTAAAAGGACAAAACAACCAAATAAACCCTGATTACCTTTCATTTCTATGGTTAAAAGAGATTAACCTGAAACTTCAAATATACCTAAAACAATATCCCTTTATTATCTCTAAGTTTTAAATCTTTTACATTTTACTTGGAAAGGACAATGCACCTGTCGTCAAACACAAAAACTGTGCCACCAGGCCTGATTTTTATCTCATATAAATTCAAATTTTTTTAAAAGAAAAAAAATGGCTAGAGTTATTTTCCTTTAATTTAGTAGGCACAATCATACAAACATCTACATAACAAACTACAAGTAACA